TGCTTTCCTTTTTTTTTTCTTTAACCAAAAAGAAAAACCCTTTGTCTTTGTATGAGAGAGGAAGTAGCCCCAAGTCTGGTAGCTGGAAAAGGGGAATTTCAGTCCTAGTATTAAACAGTATGAGCAGAGACAATGGCCTGTGTGTTTTGTGAGGTTAGGAATTGTCTTGCTCATCTTTGTTCAACAAATATTTATTGTGCCCTTACTAAGTGCTTCTGGACAATGGTGAATACAGTGGACATGGTCCCTGCCCTCATGCAGCTGGTAGTCTGTGGAGAGAGAGGCATTAATAAAGTTATGTGAAAGTTTTCATTTTCACAAAATGAAAATATAATAACAAGCTTCGATAAGTGCCATGAGGAGAAAAAATGCGGTGCTATTGGAAGGAATAATAGAGTCCTTCTTTAGAGAAAGTGGTCAGGAGAGGGCTTTCTCGGGAAGGGACATTACACTGGAGATGAAGGAAGAGTTAGAGATCAACAGAAGAATGGAGGGCACTAGGTTGTTTCGCAGCACCTAAAAAGGTTGTGGTTGGTAGAGCGAGGGCACCTAGAGCCTTCGGTACCACTGAAGGCTTTTAAGCGAAGTATTGATCTGATTTTTGCAGTCTCCCTGGCTGTTGTGTAGGAACTGCATTAGAACAGTAGCAAGAATTCAAGTGGGGAAACCAATTAGGAGGTTTTTGCAAAACAGGAGAGAGATGACAGTGGTTAATCTAAGGTGATGGAGGAGGAACCTATGGATTATAAGGGTCTCAAAAGACATATTGATTGACTGCAATGCGTGGACCTTATTTAGATCCTGATTTTTTTTTAAGTAAAAAAAAAAAAGGGAAATATCAGAGTTACAATTGGAAATTTTAACAGGATATTTGATATTAAGAAATCTTTTTAAAGATTTTTTTGATGTGGACCATTTTTAAAGTCTTTATTGAATTTGTTACAATATTGTTTCTGTTTTATGTTTTGGTTTTTTGGCCACGAGACATAGGAAATCTTAGCTCTCCAACCAGGGATCAAACCTGCACCCCCTGCACTGGAAGGCAAACTCTTAACCACTGGATCGCCAGGGGAGTCCCAAGAATTTTTTTTTTTTTAATTTTAGGTATTTCATTAGGTTTCCCACTACTCCGCTTCAGGATTAAAGTGTTGGAAATTATTCAAAAGATAATTTAGAAATATAAACTGAAATATTAATGAACAATATGTTATATATAGCATTTTGTAAAGTTTAAAGTAATAGACAGCATTAAGAACCCTGGGACAAACCCCAAAGCAGAACACTATTGAGAGTGAAAGGCAACAAGAGCTACAAACCTGGATTTCCCTAGCAAGGTGAGGTTGCTCGCCTTGATACTCTTGTTGCCTTATTTAATTTTTCAGAAATTGTATCCTGATGTGTTTATTTGTTTGATTTTTTTTTTTTTTGTGGTACGCAGGCCTCTCACTGTTGTGGCCTCTCCCATTGCGGAGCACAGGCTCTCGACGTGCAGGCTCAGCAGCCATGGCTCACGGGCCCAGCCGCTCTGCGGCATGTGGGATCTTCCCGGACCGGGGCATGAACCCGTGTCCCCTGCATCGGCAGGTGGACTCTCAACCACTGCGCCACCAGGGAAGCCCTATTTGTTTGATTTTCAAAGTAACCAAGACATACTTAGGAAATCACACTTGGGAATAGTTAAGCTCTTGCCATGTCGAGGAATCACTCAGTTATCTTCTCTCTCCTTTTCCCCATCCTGAGTCGGATGGCCCTCTCTATGGCTCTGCGACAGTGGTTTTCAGTGCTGGGGGCTGGGACAAGGCTAGGATTTTGCTCCTCCCCACCACCCACCAAGAGACATTTGGCAATGTCTGGAGACATTTTTGGTTGGCACAACTGGATCTGGGGCAGTGCTACTGGAATCTAGTGAGTAGATGCCAGGGATACGGCTCAACATCCTACCATACACAGGACAGTCTCTCCACTCGCCAAAGAAAGAATTATCAGGCCCAAAAAGTCAATAGTGCCAAGGTTGAGAAACCCTGCTGTATAGCACTTTGTCATAGCGCTTCATAAAGACAACCAAAACTGTCAACTGGTTGGCCTTCCCAGCTAGACTGGCAACTCCAAGAAGACAGGTGATACATGTATCTTGTTGAGTGTTTGGAATATAGTTGACACTTAATAAGGATTGAAAGAAGGTGGGAAGGTACATCCAGGTTCAAATTTAGGGCCCTGTGAGATCATGCTGCTTGTGATCAGCCACTTAATAAGCATTTCATTCATTCAACATTTAGCATATTTATTAAGCACTTACTATGTACTAGCAGTGTTTGATGTTGGGAATACAACAATGAGCAAGACAGAGTCCCTGCTCAATGAAACTTATTCCTATAAAGGAAGACAAACAATAAGCAACGAAACAAGATGATTTCAGACAGCGATAAATATTATGAAGAAAATAAAAGTATAATGCAACAGTGAATGATGGGGCAAGGACAGCATGGTCTAGGTTGGGTGAGCAGCTGCCATTTGAACTAATGATGAGAATGTGCCAGCCACTGAAAGCTCTAGGCTAGGGAGAAGACTGATCCAGGCAAAGACCCTGAGGCCAAAATAGAGAGGCCTGTTCAATGAAGACCAAGGGGAGAGGGCCGGATCACTTGTGCCATGGAAACGTTTGGATTTTATTCTAACTGAAATTGGAAGCCTGACATGTTGTTAAAAGATCACTCTGGCTTCTTTGGGAGAATGTATGAAACATCTATATTCAGAGTTTAAAATACTTCAGTCACATTCTCGGCTACTTCTTGCCAAAGGGGAAACTTCCCATATCCAGGAGGGGGCGCTCTAGGCGCCGGGTCAACAGACTCAGCACTGTGGTTCTTTTCGAGAAGTCGGTCGCTTCCGGGAGCGGCTGCGTCTCCCTGCGCCTTCCTCTCTATCCGCCCGTCTCTGTGGTAGCCGGGTGCCGGGGCCCTTCCCCTCTTCGGCGGCAGCGAGTTCTTTGGACTCTACCCTGAGCGGACCCGGGGGCTACCGGGCTCCCGCGTCGGTCGGATTCCGGGTCATGGCGGTCCGGGGGCCCGCGCCCCGGGCTGGCGCCCGGTGAGTAGGGCGGCTGGGGAGGAGGACCGGGCCTCGGGGCGTCCTACTCGGGGCTGTGTGGGGAAGGAGCACCTTCCGCCCTCATAACATACTGTGATTTTTTTTTTTAACTTTTTACTCAACATGGTGTTTTTGAGATCATCCATGGTATAATAATCTAGTTTTCACTTCTGAGTGCTGCATGGTGCTACCTAAGTGCGTTAGACCCCAGTTTACGTATACATTAGCCTAGTGACGGACAATTAGATCGCTTCCAGTTTTTAAGCACCACTTGCCTCCTTTGTGGATATGGGTGATCTTTGGAGTATCCATCCCAGGGTAGGATGCTAGGTCACTTAATTCTGCTAAATTTGTTCTCTGGAATGGTCACACCAACTTCTCAACAGCATTGCTTAAATGTTCCTGTTTCTTCTTAACGACCGACACCCTACCCCGCCGCCCAATGTTTGGTATTGTTTGGTTTTCTAATGTTTATCGACCTGATTAGTGTAAGGTGGTGTCCCATTGTGTTAATTTTCCTCTATTAAGCATTTGGGTTTCCCCTTATTTATATCCTTTTCCCACTTTCTATGGATTTCCTGTCTTCCTGATGCAGTCATTACTTATATGGACTAGATTTTATTACCTTGTTTATTTTCCACTCTGCAAGTAACTTCTCCAAGTCTTTTAATCTGTGGCACTATGTTGAACAAAAATACTTAATTCTAAGTTAAATCTGTTAGTTTTCCTGCATTATAGTTTGTGGTTTGGGGGTCTTATTTGAGAAATACCTTCCATTATATTTTCATTAAGATATTTCTACATTCTATTAACTAAGTAATGTTACTTTTCACATTTAGATTTTTAATCCATTTGGAGTTTTTAAAGTTTATTTTTATACATAGTTTGAGGTAATGACCTAAATTTTCCTCTACCGTCTTCAATTAATGACAAATTAATTAATAATTAAAAATTAGAGAAGCTGTATAGCGTAGTTAAGAGCACAGAGCCAGGCTGCCTGTGTTCAAACCCTAAGGCTGCCACTTATCAGGTGGGTGACAAGGCAAGTTACTTAACCTTTTTACCCTCAGTTCCTCATCTTTAAGGTTGTGATTATTAAATGAATTAATACACATAAAATGTGTAGAACAGTACTGGGCACGTAGTATGGGTTTGGCATATAATGTGTGTTTAATATGCCCTTTCTTGTGATATAATCTCTATTATGTGCTCACGTAAACATAGGTGAATTTTTTCTTTTTGGTCTTTCTGTTCCATGGTCTTTTTGTTCCTGTGTTCATACCACACTTTGTTATTACTCCAACCCTGTAATATGATATGTCTTAATAACCTGATGGTTTAGGTGGGTTTCTTCCTCCTCCTTTCCTGTTCCTCACAGTTGTCCTGACCTATTCATGGACCTTTATATTTCCATATACAGTTCCTTAAAGAACTCCTGGTTTTGACTGGTATTGCATTGCAGTTACAGACTTCTATTAGAAATGAAGTCTTTCTATTTAAGTCTTCTTTCACATCCTATAATAGAGCTTTCGGTTTTTCCTCCAAACTGTCTTATACATTCTTTTTTAAAGTTAATTCCTGGATATTTTATGGTTTTTCTGTACTTTTTTTCTGTAAATGACATCTTATTTTCTTTATATTTGCTAGTTGGTTATTGTTGGTTATTGATACTTGTGTGTTAACCCTGTATCTAGCAACATTGCTGGACTCCTTTTATTTCTAACGTTTTGTCTATTTAAAAAATAATATTTATTTTGGCTGTGCTGGGTCTTAGTTGAGGCATGCAGGATCTTCATTGCTGTGTGCGGGATCCTTATTGCAGCGTGCGGGGTCTTTAGTTGCAGCATGCCTGTGGGATCTAGTTCCCCGACCAGGAATCGAACCCAGGCCCCCAGCATTGGGAGCGTGGAGTCTTAGCCACTGGACCACCAGGGAAGTCCCACTAACATTTTGTCTATAGCTTTGCTGTGTTTCCTATGTAAATGATCACATCATCTGAAAATAATGACAATTTAATCTCTTCTTTCATTCCTTTTACCTCATTTCTTTTTTTTTCTTTATTGCTTTAGCCAGGATCTTAAAATTCTTGATGTAGTGGGTTTCCTTGTCTTGTTTGTGACCAAAAAAGAGGATGTGGCTAAAGTTTCTTTATTAATTTAGCTATAGGTTTTTGGTAAATAACCTTTCATAGCATTTATCAACTTAAATTCCTTTTTATCCCCTGGTCTGTTTCCCTCCTACCATCTTCAGCATTCGTAAACCGTTCTTTCTGCATGGCCTGCGCCCTGCCCACCAACAGCTGTAGATAAGCTTGGTAACTGCTCTCTAAGGCTCCGTTGTCCTTTTAGGACTCTGCTTCTCCTGCTTCTCTTCTTCAGGCCCAGGTTAGATCTGCAATTTTTCCAGCGGTTCCTGCAGATACAGAAGGTTTTGTTTCCCTCTTGGTCATCACAGAATGCCTTGATGTTCCTGACCCTTTTGTGTGTGGCCCTACTGGGTGAGTGAATGAGCCCAGGCCGGTGGGGGGGAGGGCAGCCCTGGTTTGAGGTCCTTCTCCTTCTGTGGGGTGTTGATGAGGCAAGGCCTCAAGAGGAAGCCTCCCTTGTCTTTTCTCAGCCCTCATCACTGATTCCTGACTCCTCTCCTTCCCCCCAGAACAACTGGTGATCTACCGGGTTGGCTTGATTCCCAGTCAGTACTTTGGGGTGCTAGGAAACAAAGATTTAAATGGGTTTAAGACCCTGACGTTCCTGGCTGTTGTGCTCATCGTCCTCAACTCCATGGTAAGGTCTTCTCCCTGTGTCTCTCTTCCTCTCCAGCCTAGTGCGATGCCTCTCCAGTGCCCAGTGGACTTAGCCACCAGTAAGCAGGAACCAAGCTGTGGGTGTGTGTTCCCTCCCTCTTCTGGGAACATGGGGTCAAAACTCTAGGCAGGGCATTGATCTTGCTGTTGGCCCACATGGGACCAATTCCCAGAGTGTTACGAGCTCCTAGGGCTTGGCCACAGGATTCAGGTTTAATCCAGCATTTGGTGGAAATGATCCTTGTCCCTTCCATTCCCAGAACTCTTGCTTCAGGGCGCTCAGAGCACTTGAAAACTCGGCTCAGCAGCCAGAGCTGCTGCTGTCCTCTTGGGGGGGCCGAGGCTGTGCCTGAGCCTGGCACTTGTCACATCTCCCAGCCTTTGCACCTGCTGCTCTCTTGCAAAATGGCCTCCTTCCCCCACCCCTTGTTCACTTGCTTAACATCTGCTCACTTTTCACGATTCCTCCGCTGTCACCTCCTTCAAGTCCTCCTCAACTTGTCCTTCATGTTTCCTCCACCAAACTCTGCCCCTTCGACTCCTGATCCTTTGAGTTCAGCTCTGCACTAACAATCCTTACACCCTTGTGATTGTCTGTGCCCTCACTAGACTGTGAGCTCATTGTTACTTCCCTCGTGCTTAGCGTACAGGGGCTCCATAAACGGAGTGATGAGAGTCAGGGCTCTTTTAGGACTCAAGCCTAATGCTCTCTGTCAGGCTGCACTACCTGTTTTCTTGGGGAAGCCACTTCTCATCACACTTTGGCACTTTTGATGGGTCTTCGGTCAGTAAACACCTAAGGATTCAAACCCTGTGCCAAGTTTTGGGGGACAAAAAAGTAAGAACATAAGTGGAATAGAAGATATTGTTCCCAATCTCCAGAAGCTCATGTGCTCTGGAGACGTAAGACAATACCCTGTAGAGGAGGCTAGAAGGCCTTGCCTTTGGTAAGCCCTTCAATATTTGGTGCAGTCAATAAACACATGAGTGAATGAGGAAGGGATGAATCCCATGACTTGACGCTCTAACAGGCTCAAGTGCTGAGTGGACAGCCGAATGGGCTGGGACTGGTCAGCAGAGGCTTTCCGCCAGCCTGAGCTTGGAGCTGAGACTTGGTAGAAAGAGACTTGCACCTCTCCCTTCCCCTTGTCTCCCCCGCTGCACAGCTGAAGAGCTTTGACCAGTTCACCTGCAACCTGCTGTATGTGAGCTGGAGGAAGGACCTCACCGAGCACCTCCACCGCCTCTACTTCCGGGGCCGCGTGTACTACACCCTCAACGTGCTGCGGGATGACATCGATAACCCGTAGGCACCCCCCCTCAGTCCTTGCTACCCTCTGTGTGGTTCGTCCACCTGGGCTGACACAGCCCTGGAGACCCCCTGCGGCAGACCCCATGAGGTCATCCACCATTATCTGCAAATGTTGCTGCCCAGAGCCAAGGGGGAAGGGTGCCCTGCAGAGGACCCCGGAGAGGCTGCAGGGCTGAGGTCAGGGAGCTAAAAGGAAGAGGCCAAGAGCAGCTCCCTTTTGTCCACTTCACATCCTGGGCTTCCAGATAAGGCACCCTCTGAAGACAGTGTCCTTGCTAGAAAAAGCTAGAAGAGCAGCGCTCCAGTTTTCAGCAGTAAAAAACTACTATTGTCTAGGACTCAGTCTGGGATTCCAGTCACCATTCTATCACCTCTCTTAGGTTCACTAAGCCCCAGGTTCCCTTACAGGTGAGGCAGCTGAAGCCCAGAGAATGCAAGTGACTTGCCAAAGCTCACGTCTCACTGGGAATAGGAGTCGTTGTGGCCTTGGTGGTGGGATGGGACACGTGGGGTCTCTCTTCACCCTCATTCCCTCCCCGCTTCGCACCGTCCCAAGCACTTTGTTGCCTGATGCAACCTCTCCTCAGCTCAAGTGGAGCTTTGCAGCAAAGACTCTTGGGAGGCTGCTGCTGCTTCTTAACCTTCTCTTCTAGGCCTCTTCTCCACATTTTTTTTTTTTTCCCTTGGCCGCACCAGGCACGTGGGATCTTAGCTCCCCAACCAGGGATCAAACCCGTTCCCCCTGCATTGGGAGAACAGAGTCTTAACCACTGGACCACCGAGGAAGTCCCTAGGCCTCTTCTCTATGGCTCAACCTGTACAAAACTTCCACAGCCAGATAGCTAAATGGGGGCAGGCTCAGGCTCGTGAGAGAGAGGTTGGGAGGAGTGAGGTAAATGACGTAGCTTTCCTGATCATCCAGAAACTCGGATCCTCTACCCTCGGGTTTTTCTTTGGCTCTGCTCAAAGCTGGCTCAGAGCCCTTGTGTGCTGGACCTTTCAGTTGCCATTTTTTCTGAGGGGTGGACTGAGGCACCATAGGAAGCAGCTCTTCAGAACCCTGTTTGAAAGTCCTAAGGGTCTCGTTGCCTCTAGGAAACGAGCCCTTGTCTGGGTCCACCTTCCCACGGGGTCATTGCTGACAGCACTGAAAGGCAAGGTCAGAATAAGAGGTAGCCTGGAAGTGCCTTAGCTCTCTCAACCCTCAAGCCCAGCTCCCTGGGCCTAGTCACTCTGTGTCATTGGCTCCAGGGACCAGCGCATCAGCCAGGACGTGGAGCGGTTCTGCCGGCAGCTCAGCAGCGTGGCCAGCAAGCTGATCGTCTCCCCCTTCACCCTCATCTACTACACCTATCAGTGCTTCCAGAGGTGAAGGCTCTCTTCCTGCCAGAGCCCTTCCTCCTCCCCTGCCTTGTGGTTCCCCAGAGTCCCTCACTCACACATTGGGCGGGAGTCAGCTCTCCCTGGTCAGGGTCCACGAGAGGCTGGTCTTCCCTCCCTCCCACCTGCACCCCAGGAAGTCTTCCTGTCTTGCATGCTTGGGCCCCTGCCCTCCCTGTGGCCCTGTGGTGTGTCAGTGTCAAGGTACCAGATGCCCCCGCACAGGAGCAGAAGCCGCACAGGGCTCTGAGATGGGACAGGGGGCTGCCCAAAAGGGGGCAGGAGTCAGAGCAGAGGCCTGTGGGGATATGTCGCTCCCCACACCCTCCCTCTCTCTGCCTTTCAGCACCGGCTGGCTCGGGCCTGTGAGCATCTTTGGGTATTTCATTCTGGGAACCGTGGTGAACAAGATGTTGATGGGTCCCATTGTGGCAAAACTGGTGCAGCAGGAGAAGCTGGAGGGGGATTTCAGGTGTGTCTCCCTTGCTTGAGGTTTCTGGGCCAGGCATAATGGTTAGGGAATGGGATCTGGAGAAAGGCTGCCTAAGTTTAAATCCCAGTTAGGCCAGTCACTAGCCATATGGTCTTGGGCGGGGTCTTTAACCTCTCTAAATTTCAGTTTTCCCATCTGTAAAATGGGGATGGTACTGACAGCATTGTAAGGAGGATTAATGAGATCATACATGAGAAGCACTGAGAACGGCGACTGGTTGGCCGCCATCATCATCGTCGTCCCTTGGCCTTCTCACATGCTTCTGTTCCAACCACCCTTATTCTGGTCAGCCGATGGGTCCAGCCCCTACTCTGTGCTTCTTGGCCTCCTCCTTCAGACCCGGCCCTGGGAAGAAGAGGAGCTGTGGCAGGCCTGCACCTGTCCTCTTTGGAGAGGCAGGTGGCTGCCGTGTCTGCAGGTCTCCTGCCATCCCTCCCGGGCCTGGAATTTCCCACCCTGTGACAGGCCAGGGAAGGGTCGGGCTGAGGCAGCCACAGTCATGGAGTGGAGCCAGGCTCCTCTTTGCCTGGAGGTCTTCTTGATCCGGGACTCTGAAAGGAGACGGGCCAGTCCTGCCCACTGTCAGCACTCATTTGCCTTTGGTCTTCCCAGGTTCAAGCACATGCAGATCCGGGTGAATGCTGAGCCTGCTGCTTTTTTCAGGTGAGTCTAGTGGGGATAGTTCCCCTTCTGCCTTGTCAGAGCTGATAGTGGAGATGGTGGAGAAGTAAACAACCCTCCCACCATCACCAAGGCCAGGGGCCAGGCGTCCTCACACTTGGCTGTGACCCTCTCCCCTTATCTCTCACTGTCCTCGTCTGCCTCATCCTTAGGTCCATGGATTTGCTTCTGAAACTGGTTCTTCCTTTTCGTGGCCTAGCATGGGGCCTAAATTTGTTCTAAGAATGAAATGAGTGAATGCTTCATCATCTTTCTAATGACTGTAAGGCATTGCCTCTGCCTCTGCTTTTCTGTCTGTAAAATGGCTTTCTGCCAGTGCCTGACATCCAAGGCTGATCCGTTGTCTCTGTAGCGTGGGAGGGAATGGAGCCTCTCAGCTCAGAAAACCTGCTCGCCACAGACACTGTCCTAGTGGAGCAAAGTGGTCTCCTGACAGCAGCATTGTGAAACCCCATTCCTTCCCCCGGGGCCAGGGTAGGTCCCTGCACTCTGCCTCCTATGAGGACTCTGGATTCAGTATTTGGATTGACAGTAAGGGCCCAGAGGTTTGTGTTTAAGGAGTAGAAGTTACTCCTTGGATCACCTGGATCTAATAGCCCTGGACTTTGCTCTTCTGTCCGTCTCTGCTGCAGTTTGTAGCTCCCACCACTTGGGGGCACCAAGCATACTGGGGACCTATGAGTGGGGCAGGTCCTGGGGGCCAGGTAGGGCTGGGCCTGCGCTAGGTTTTTTTTGGATTCTGCAGTCACTGCTCATGAAGCTTTGGGCCCTGGGGAATGCAGGTTGATGCTTGGAGCTCTGAGTGTGTTTTCCTGCAGCCTCTCTGTCCTTCATGCAAAATCTGAAACGTTTCCTCTGTCCTCCCCCAACCTTTCTGCCTGGAGAATTTCTGCCCATCCTTGAAGCTCCAAGTCACCTCCTCCTGGGCACCTTTCCAGACTCCCTTAGGGGTCACGCCTATTTGCTTCCATAGCCCTGAAGACACACGGCTTATGTAACACTTTCCATGTTCCAGGTGAAGAATGCAGCGCGTCTGCCTGCCCCCCTGAACTGGGAGCCCCTCGAGGACAGGGGCTCCTTTGTCCAAAACTGTTTCACTGGCTACCTAGCACCAAGCCTGCCGCCTAGTGACTGCTGCGTGTATATTTGTTTAATAATAGCAGCTCTTTTTTATTGGGAGCCCCTCATGTGCTTGGCGCTTTACATTCAGAAATTCTCACTCTAGCCTATTACGTAGGTATTATAAGCTCCATTGTATAGATGAGCAAACTGAGACTCAGAGGCTTAATAACCTGTCAGTGTTACCCAGCTAGTAACTGGCCAGAGCCAGGATTTGAATCCGGTCTGCCCAGTCTAGAGTTCATGGTCTTTCTGCAGACAATACCATGTCGACTGAATGAACCAATGGCTGGCTGCTGGTGGCCGAAAGGGTCTGAGGGGACGATCACTTGGGTGGGCTTGGTCGCTAAAGGGGAGTGTGAGGAGGGGGGCTCAGGCTCTCCAGGCCCCGTGGACACCCCGGCCTTTCTCATCAGAGCTGGGCACGTGGAGCACATGAGGACAGACCGCAGGCTGCAGAGACTCCTTCAGACCCAGAGGGAGCTGATGTCCAAGGAGCTCTGGCTGTACAGTAGGTGCAGGGAGCCCCGGGAGGCAGGAACCACCGTGGTGGGGGGGAGCCTGCTTCCTTCCCCACAACTCCCTCCTCCCTCTCTGCACTGATCAGTTTGCCTTTGCCATGAGTGACCTCAGGAGAGTGAGGATCCCCAGAATAGCTTGACCATGCTTGGCTTCCCGTTCCCCTCGGAGCGCAGGATTGCTTCCCAGGTCTCTCACCCTAGGTCTTTCTGTCTTCCACAGTCGGCGTCAACATGTTTGACTATCTGGGCAGCATCCTGAGTTACGTCGTGATCTCAATCCCCATTTTCAGCGGCGTCTACAGAGACCTGAGCCCCACAGAGCTCAGCACCCTGGTCAGCAAGGTGAGAGTCCCTTCTGGGGACCCCCTCATGCCATCCGCCCTGCCCTTTGGCCCAGCACCCAGGGCCTTGGAGTCAGGGCCCGCGCGCACTGCCCTCTGTCCTGTCCAGAACGCCTTTGTGTGCATGTACGTCATCAGCTGCTTCACCCGGCTCATCGATCTCTCCACCACGCTCTCCGATGTGGCAGGCTACACACACAGGTGAGGCTGCGTCCGGCCCCTCTAGGTCCTGAGCAAAGCGTGTACCTCAGGGAGAAGTAGCAGAGTGAAAACGGGAGCAGAAAAGCTCACCATATACTAGTGGGCATGAGAGAGAAAAAGGAGTAACGCCCTCACCTGGGCGCCCAGACCCTCCTCAGGTTTTCACTTCTCGCCCAGGATCGGGGAACTTCAGGAGACCCTGCTGGACATGACCCTGAAGTCACGGGATGGGGAGATCCTGGACGAGAGCGAGTGGGACTTGGCCAGGTGAGCGCTGGGCTGGCGGTGCAGCCTGGTGGTGGAGAATGCAGGCGCTGGAAACACCCTGGAGCCCAGCCCGTTCCCAGCCGGGCAGCAGAGTTAGGCGGAGCAACTGAGCTCTGTCTTATGCCAGGCACGTTGTAAATGTTCACCATCGATGTTGCTGTTCTGGCATCTGTGTTTATTTACACCATCCCCCAGCTGATGGAAACAAAGTACAATCAGCCTGGGCCTGAGTTAACAAAACAAAAATCTGAATTGTATCCCTCCTCTTCCTTTATTCCCTCCTCCTCGCTGAGCCCTGCCGCCAGTCCCCTTCCTTGGGGCATGTCTATTCTTTGTCCCCACTCGGGCCCAGAGGTGTCTTTATTGTATCTTTGCAGGCTCCGTGATGTTTCTGACCTTTCTGTGCATCAAGGATTTGTTCATGTCCTCACTTTTCTTGAGCAAACTACTTAACTGCTCTGTGTCTCAGTTTCTTCGTCTCTATAAAGAAGATGTTAATGGAACCTTCGTCTTAGGGTTGTTGTGGGGATTAGATATCATAGTTCATAGAAAGTGCTTGGACGGAGGCCACAGAGTAAACTTTCAAAAATGGAAACAGGCTGAATTTCAGGGTTTACACTCAACTGTCTTCTTAGGAGCTAATGCCTTAACTGTTGCCTCTGTTCAGAATTAAAGCTTCATGCAGCTCTGAGCCCAGAGGTGGAGGGGGGGGCGCTGGTGGTGCAGGGACTGTGGGGAACTGGAGATGCTTTTCTGTGGGGGAGATGGGCATCCGTGGAGAGCCAGAAACTCCAAAACTGTGTTAGTGTTTCCGCTCCCATTCTTACATCAGTCACCCGGTGATGCCATGAAAATGCCACCAACATTAGAATTGCACAGATGCAGCTCTGCGCCCCTGAGCAGGTTACTCAGCCACCTGACTCAGTTTCCTCATCTGCCCAGTGGGGATAATAGCTGTGGTTCGTGGCTGATAAGACTGATTAAGATCAGTCATGGGCAGGACTTTGCCCAGCCTGCCGCAGAGCAGGTGCCCAATCCATCTCTATCAGTTTGCTAGGGCCGCCATGACAGAGTACCATAAACTGGGTGGCTTAAAGAGCAGAAGTTGATTTTCTCATAGTTCTACAGGTTAGAAGTCCAAGATCAAGGTGTCAGCAGGGTTGATTTCTCCTGAGGCCTTGCTCCTTGGCTTGCAGATGGCCGCTTTCTCACAGTGTCCTTACATGGCCTTTTCTCTATGCGTGTGCACCCCTGGTGTCTCTCCCTCTTCTTAAAAGGACACCAGTCATACTGGATTGGGGCCCTACCCTAAAGGCCTCATTTTAATATAATCACCTCTTTAAAGACCCTGTCTCCAAATGCAGTTACCTTCTGAGGTACTAGGCATTGGGACTTCAGTATGTGATTTTTGAGGCCACAGTTCAGCCCATGGCAACCCTCCAGTCCAGAGGTGATGCCCCCAATGAGAAAGAACTACCCCCCTGCCCCCAGCAATACTGACACCACTTATCTTCCCAACATCTCTTCCCTTCTTGCACCCTAGGGCCCCGGGATGGCCAGCAACAGAGCGAACAGATACAGCTTTTCTCCTTGAGCGGGTCTGCATCTCCGCCCCCTCCTCTAATAAACCCTTAATCAAGGATCTGAGCCTGAAGATCTCTGAGGGGCAGAGCTTGCTTATCACAGGCAACACGGGCACCGGCAAGACCTCCTTGCTCCGGGTTCTGGGTGGCCTCTGGGCGAGCACATGGGGTGAGAGCCAGCCTTGGCCTGTGGGGGGTATGTGTGTAAGAATCAAGCCTCTTGTTGGGAAAGCAGCATGAGGGGCAATTGCCTTTCTGGGAGGTCTTAAAATGGTGCTTTCTGTAGGCTCAGTGCAGATACTGATGGACTTTGGACCCCACGGGGTGCTGTTCCTGCCACAAAAGCCATTCTTCACTGACGGGACCCTTCGGGAGCAGGTTAGCCGGGGCCCACTCCTCCCACCCCTTCCCCCCAACCTGGACCCTGGTGGTGGGACAGGTCTCAGCCCTGGAGAGCTATGGGACAGCAGGTAGGGTATAAAATGAACCAAGCCCAGGAACTCCCTGGCTCCAAGGACTTTTTATTCACTTCTATGGATTAGGCCATATACTCAGAGCAACTTCTGGGAGCAGGTTAACCTGTGGAGGCCGTAAGCCAAATATCACATGTGTTTGTTGAACACCAACTTGGATTCTGGGGGCCCTGCCCTGCTGTTTGCCAGCCCCGCCTCTCCCACCGGACCCTCAGCCAGGACGCTCCTTGCTCTCCTCAGGTGGAGAGGAGCCTGGCCTCTGGCAGCTCCTGGGGCTGTTCCTGAGGGAGGATAGCTGTGTGCAGCCCCACCTCTCCTTGGCCCTTGCCCCAGGCCCATGTGGTTTCTTCTTTTATCAGGTGATATATCCCCTGAAGGAGATCTACCCGGACTCAGGTGAGCTGAGCTTCTTGAGGATGCAACCTCCCATCCCACCATCTCTTCTCTGTCTGACTGTGGCCTCACCTGTACCTTTTGGAAGAGGCCCCAGCCAGGCTGCTGGTTTCAGGTGGGGTCCCCTCCACCTCCTCCTTTGACTGTTTACTATTCAGGGGTCTGTACCCTGACCTCATCTTTTTCTGTCTCCCCCTCCGGAGGAGAGACACCACTGGAGGAAAGGAAGGGATTACTTCCTTCACTGGGTCCTTCCCGTGTTTATGAAGTGCTTCAGAGCCTTGGCGCACATTCTGGGCCCGGCCATGATGTGCCCCATCTATCCCGGCTACCCGGAGGAGCTGACTTCTGTACCCTGACCTCATCTTTTTCTGTCTCCCCCTCCGGAGGAGAGACACCACTGGAGGAAAGGAAGGGATTACTTCCTTCACTGGGTCCTTCCCGTGTTTATGAAGTGCTGTGACCTGTCGCTTCAGAGCCTTGGCGCACATTCTGGGCCCGGCCATGATGTGCCCCATCTATCCCGGCTACCCGGAGG